AAAGTATTTCCTCCCAGGGAAGTCATGTAGGTGTGCTTTGATCACGTTAACATCATTGGAACAGATATTTTTTTAATCCATTAGTGAGATGTTTCTCAAGACTACTTTCCTGATGTGGGAGTTGCCCAGGGCTTCCATCCACTCTTCCTTCATACATCCTAGTGTGTGCAGCAGTCATTTCCTAATGGTGGAACTTGCTTATCTGTTGTGTTTGTCCTTCAGGTCCATCTTGACTGGCTTGTTCCCCCCAACCTCGGGTACAGCCTTCATCCTGGGCAAAGATATCCGCTCTGAGCTCAGTACCATCAGGCAGAACCTGGGTGTCTGTCCACAACACAACGTGCTGTTTGACCTGTGAGTAGCACCTGTGAGATGCAGGGCTGGTGTTATCTGACAGGTCTTTGGGTTCCTTAGGAGACAGTGGTGTGCTTTCAGCTGGGACAGTCCTGACCTATCTGTGTGCATGGTGTGGGACAGCAGGGTGGCACGAGATTTGTAAAAGGACACTGTTTATTAGCACAAGTGTACGTGCCTATCAATTATCAGGAAAAGCTTACATTTCCAACTTTGGCTTCTCTGTAAAGAAATGTACTCCATTGAACTTAACTAGGCCAAATGTTACCCCAGACCCTAGTGATCCGGGATGTTGGGAGTTCTCTGTCAAGCACCCTTAATGAATGATTATTTACATTGGTGCTGAGTAGCCACACCCTGAAATCAGGCCCAAGCTGAGCACACCCAGTCTGCAACTCCTTCCTGAAACTTCAGCCTTAAAGGTTGTTTTCCTGAGAAAACAAGCATGTTTGCTGTAATGCTAATGCAAGGGATGAATCCCAGCGTAGTGGTATGAGCTGTGCCCTGAGGCTGCTCCTATTTCCTAGGCTCACAGTGGAGGAGCACATCTGGTTCTACGCTAGGCTCAAAGGGCTGCCAGAAAAGAAGGTGAAAGAGGAGATGGAGCAGATGGCAATGGATGTTGGTTTGCCTCACAAACTGAAAGCTAGGACAAGCAAACTCTCTGGTAGGTATTCAGCTGCTTTTGCATTTCTCAACTGCTTCTTCAGCCCCAGAAAAAGTCTCTCGAGTTTCACAGAGGCTGCATCACTGGCATTGGCTGGATCCTCCAATTACGTACAGACTACATGATTGAGCACTTTGGAAAATCAGTTGTTTATCAAGTTACCCAGTCAGTATATCTTAGTAAGCCTAACATTCGTACGCTATGTTGTGCTGTCTATTGACCAGAACAGTCACTTACTTTCTCTGAGTCTTTTGCACTTGTTTCCATCACCACATAATCCAGCTACCAGTGATATTCCCTACAGCAGGACGCCTGTATCAGTCTGTATGAGGTAGCTGAGGGCCCAAGACTCCTGTTTTTTTCTGACTCAACTATCAACACAGACTGTATATTTGGCCTTAGGAAGGGAGAGCAGACGGCCATAGGTTGCCTTTAGTATCGAGAGTATAATATAATTCCTTGCTGCTGCCTCTGGCAAACTTCCACAGCAGCAGTGTCTCTTGGGGACCTATTTCTGCAGCTGAAGCTCTGGAAGACCCACGCTCCAGATTCTCAAATGTGGTTAGGCCTCCAGGCTGGTGACTTGATACTATCAGTGCTGAGATTCACTTGTGGAAGGGCTCACAAGGTGTGGTTTCCTGCAGTAGGAGGAGAGCTGTACTCCACTGAGGGGGGACCATCCAGATGAGTTATCCCCTGTCCTGAAGGTGATAGGACCCTGTAGGCCTGACACTGTAGCAGTACTTGGTATTCTCATTATGCAATTCTGCTTTTTCTGGGAGAACTCATGATCCACCATGCTGATGCTGTCGCTGTTCCTCTCATCTCTGCCTCAGCCTGAACACCTCTTTCTTCTTCTGCCTGTTAGGTGGCATGCAGAGGAAGCTCTCAGTTGCCTTAGCCTTTGTTGGTGGCTCCAAAGTTGTCATTCTGGATGAGCCTACAGCTGGAGTGGATCCTTATTCTCGCAGAGGGATATGGGAATTACTCCTCAAGTATCGGCAAGGTACGTGGTCTTTTTCTCTGCTGCTTATGAACGTGCCATGGAAAGCAAAAGAAAATAAATGCAATTCATGACTCTTCCCAAAATAGCAATGTGTCTTTGCAAATCTGTTATTGCCTGCACTGAGGCGGGAGCAAAGAGAATGCATAACGAGGATGTTCTGATTTCTCACCTGACCTCCTTTCTCATCCTGTTCATGTCAGAGCTTATGAACAAAAGTTCCTCCTTGGGTTGTGAGGGCAGTTAAAATCAGAAATTCACCCTTGGTGTGAAGCAGTGTCCAGTTCTTCTCTGTGCAACCAGCCTTGCTGATGTGAATTAACCTGCCTTTGCTGAACATGACAAGAGCCAGCAGAGGATGGGGAGGAGAAACCTATGACAGCAGTTGTGAATCTTACCTATACTGTGGACTTGTGGCATCAACCTTCCATCAACTTCATGGCAAGATCCAGAAGATTGTGGCTTTGGCTCACAAACATGGGTATGGTTGACTTACCAGCACTGTCTTCCCTTGCTTTTTTCCAGGCCGCACTATCATTCTCTCCACACACCACATGGATGAGGCAGACATCCTGGGTGACCGAATTGCCATCATTTCTCATGGCAAGCTCTGTTGTGTGGGCTCTTCTCTCTTCCTGAAGAACCAGCTGGGAACAGGCTATTATCTGACACTGGTCAAGAAGGATGTGGATTCCTCTCTTAGCTCCTGCCGAAACAGCAGCAGCACAGTGTCCTATCTGAAAAAGGTACAGCTGACCCTTACGTACATTCTTCCTTCATGAACTCCTAGGCTTATGGGAAGCAGCAGCTAAGATTTTACATGGTAGAACATCTCAAAGAGCAATCCCTCACTCTTTAAAAAACATGTTACTTGCTTTTATAGGTACTATACCAGATCATGCCTGGTTAGCCTGTTGCATGGGATGTACATCTCCCTTACAGTTTCTTTCAGTGATGGTGGTACAAAGCTGATTTGAGAAATACAGAATAGATCAAGTGCTCTTGCTTCTGTAACTGTGACCTCTTACTTGTATTTCAGCCCTTTGCAGTGCTATGTCACCATTACTTTCTGACTCTTCCAGTATCCCGCATGTTGCAGCATCTAGTAGGAGTTACCTAGAGTGTAGTATCTGGTGGGCCTGTTTTTTGTTAAACAGCAGGAAACAATGGTCGTCTTCTCTTTTGTAACCAGGATGACAGTGTCTCCCAGAGCAGCTCTGATGCTGGCCTTGGCAGTGACCACGAAAGTGACACACTGACAATAGGTGAGGCTTGGATAAGAATGTAAGGTTCAGTCCCAGTGTTGTTATTGCTCTGTCTTTCATCTTTGACAACTGCCTTAACCTTATGCCCCTGTATAGCTACAGTCTTGTGATAATCATTAAATTCACAGCAATGGTATTTTTAAGTCCGTAATTTTTTCTTTAGCGAGGTATTTTGCGTTCAAGCTGTCCTGAAATTTAATAACCAAAGATTACATAGTTGCTAAGCCTGTTAGCAATATGTAACGTTAGCTGGTGAAGTGTACGTGGGTGACTTGCAGGGCTGCCAGTGGCATGTAAAAACTCTACCAGATTCAGAAATGAGATTCTCCATGGACATGAGAGATGTCCCATTTTCCTTCCTTTGCTTCTGGCAGTTTTTCAGACTGAGCTGCTCTTTCCACACGATGAGTAGTAACAAAAGTGAACACTGTGTTTTCCTTTTGGTTCTTCTAGATGTCTCTGCAATTTCAAATCTCATTACAAAACATGTCCCTGAGGCCAGGCTGGTAGAGGACATCGGCCATGAATTAACCTATGTCCTGCCGTACAAGGCTGCTAAAGAGGGAGCTTTTGTGGAGCTGTTCCATGAAATAGATGACCGTCTCTCTGATCTTGGCATTTCCAGCTATGGGATCTCTGAAACCACCTTAGAAGAAGTGAGTGAACTGAGGATTCCTGTTTGACTTAAAGGAGGCAAAATGAATCCTAGCAGAAATAGGAGTGAGATAGTCTTGTCACTTCCTGTAAATATTTGTTGTGGAACAAGAAGCTTTGTTTTCCTCTCCAGAATGGTTTGCCCTCTGCCCTGTTTTAAGTGTGTGCTTTAAAAACTGAAATGTAATACAGGCAAGCATAGACAGGTCATTTGTTTGGGTTGCACTTTGCTAAGATGTCATGTGAAGATTGGCCCCCAGTTTGGCTTCTAGTGACTGTGTAAACACCTTTGAGGTATTTTTAGGGATACTTTGTGCTGCATGTAACTGAAAACATACATTTCAGTACTGGAGCTGATACTTCACAGAAACCACTTAGTTGTATGCCCTCGTCAGGAGCATTTTTAGGGTCTGATCCTTGTGGCTGTGTCCCAGCTGACATGTCTGCCTTTTCTTAATCACAGAAGTATCTTGCACTTTATCCTCTGTTTATGTGAAATGTTGTCTTTATTTTTTTTAGTAGTGACAGGGGAAACTGAAACCACGATGCTGCCCTCTAGGTACATGAAGGCCTTGGCTGCTGACTGCCATTTGAATTTTTTTATTATTTTTTTTTCCTGGTTTAGGAGAGTCCAAGGGACAAGCTCCACAAAGGTGCCTGTTCAGGCATGAATAGGAGTGTGAGCACTGTCTGTGGAGGAAGATGAGAATCCCCAAATTTAGTAACTAGGTCCATTTTTTTAAAGATAGAAAAGATGATGTGTTAGAGATGCACTGAAAACTGAGAAGTGGCTGATTGGTGCTTACAGGCTGGCTCCTGGAAGCTAGAAAGAAGCCACAAAGACCATATCCCCATTGTGCAGGAGTTAAACCATGTATCCTCTGTTCTTGTGCAGCATCTGTCAGCCCTGTGCTTTCTCCTGGCATCTCATAAAGCAGTTCCCATTATTATCATTCCCATACAATTTTCACAGACTCATACCTTTTCTTTTCAGATATTCCTGAAAGTAGCTGATGACAGTGGTGTGGATGCAGAAACCTCAGGTGGGTGTAGTTGTCTTCTGCAGTATTGAAGGGAAATTTAAGGGGAGGCACCTTTTATTTGTGCTGTTTAAGCACAAGACTGAGCAAGTCTAGGTATTTCAGGGATAAAATGTCAGTGCTGGGATTTGTTCCCAAGGGAATAAAGGGTCTAGTGAGTATCTCAAATGAAGAGCATTCCTGGTCTCACCAGCCTTGAATAGGCAGGTGATCCTGGTGTATGGCAGCATGTCTGGCTACACAGTGACACATGTCAAGGTGTGACAGGCCCTTTTTCAGACTGAACAGGAACTCTGCTGTGCTATATTTTTAATGACCTAAAATAGCTGTTCTTAGCATACTTAATGCATGCTTTTATTATACCGTTAACTTCTGTTGACTTAGTGGTAGCATAGTTATTTTGTAATAGTGGAGAGTTTCTGATGTTTGCATGTATACTGAATTATTTGACTGACATTATTGTTTACTCTGAGGAACAGGAAATACTCTTGATGAGGTCAGATTGCAGTAGGAACCAAATTAATTCCTCTAAGAGCAGCTCACTGCACTAAGTGCTTTTGTCAGTGTTTCCTAATAAACTAGTGCTAGCATATTGTACTTGGAACCATGTGCACATTTAGTGAAAATTTTCTTATAGTGAGAGCAGCCTGCAATTTTTATGGATAAATGAAAAAAAAAATGTCCAGTGCACTGGAAGAAGCTTCTAGGACAGCACACAAAAAATGGTACATAAAAAGGGACTCTTGCAGAGTGACAGTCTTTATTTTACTTTTAGCTGCACTGGAGTGACTCCAGATCTTGTTTGCAAATGGAAAATATGTAAAATGAAAATGATATTGCTTGTTTGGTTTTTTTCTGGGGCTAACTGGAGATTAACTGAAGCAGCTCAGCTAATCACAAGTGCATTGTTTTCAGATGGGACATTGCCAGCCAGAAGGAACAGGCGTGTGTTTGGAGATAGACAGAGCTGCCTTCGTCCATTTACAGAAGATGATGCATTTGATCCTAATGATTCAGACATAGATCCAGGTATTGCTGGGGCTCAAGCCCATTTTCTTCCTGTGGACACTCTCTCATATTGTAAATATGATCATAAGGCTGAGACTGCTGGAAGAGTGGTAATTTATTTGCCTTTAGGGATAGTGGGCAGAGCAGTATCTACAGACTGCTCAGTCCTCCCTTTGAGGTTCAGAGAGATAAGGGTGAAAATGCATGCATGTGGATTTCTGTTGCTATCTCTGCTCACCACTTGCTTTTTTATGATGAGAAAAAGAAGCTATTCCAGCTGCCACCTTGTGTCTCCAGCACAGAAGTGCCTAGAGAACATCTCTGAGCTTTTGAATGAGGGTCATTTTTTCTTGCTAGCAGAATCCAGAGAGACAGACCTTCTTAGTGGTGTGGATGGGAAAGGATCCTACCAGATGAAGGGCTGGAAGCTCACCCAGCAGCAGTTCATGGCTCTCTTGTGGAAGAGGCTGCTGATTGCCAAGAGAAGCAGGAAGGGCTTCTTTGCTCAGGTGAGAACACCCAGCAGATGCAGGGTCCCTCAACAGGGACAGCTTTGGACCATGTATTGTGTTCAGAGTTAGAACTGGGGAGAAAACCTCAGGTGAATATGGGTAACCATAACTGGTGTTCAGTGCACATCTGAGCAACAGGGGGCTGGTGCAAGTGAAAGGAGGTACATGATGACCAAGAGGTGCAGAGCAGGGATGCAGCTGTGGATCAAATCCAAATTTGACCTTAAGAGCAGCATTTGGAGGCTGAATCCTCTGCATTCCAAGTGAGTGCCGTGATTTAGCTCTTCTGTTGGTGTCTGGCAATGCCTTGGTGTAAATGGCAAAGACCTTCCTGGGAAACTTGGAAAAAGTTTTCACCCATTGAAGTTCCTGATGCTTCTGGTAATATTCACTTTAAAAAGTGCTTGGTCTTTCCTTTCAGATCGTGCTGCCAGCTGTCTTTGTGTGTATTGCTCTCATGTTCAGCCTGATCGTTCCTCCCTTTGGGAAGTATCCCAGCCTGGAGTTACAGCCCTGGATGTATGATGAACAGTACACTTTTATTAGGTATGTTTCCTGTGGCCTAGACATAGTGCTAAATCCTACAATTCTGTTCTTCTTGCAAACATGAGTTACTGAGTTCCTTACAAGGTTCTTAACATTTTTTTAGTGCAGAAGCACTTTTTAATGGAGTCCTGGTATTTTCTTTTCAGACCTTTAAATGCTGACTCTTAACTACTGGCAAGGCCATATACATTTCTGAGTGGTGCTGTGACTCTATTAATACTATGTACTATACAGGAGTGTGTATGTGCTGCTAGGCCAAGCATTCTTCAAAGGGAAATCTCCACACAAATCCTTTTCCTGAGTGTTTTCATTGTGCTTGCAGCCTTGCTCTGCTGCTGCTTTTACTGTGTGTCTGTTATCCCACTGACCTGACAGTGTTTCTCTGCTGTACTTGCAGCAATGATGCTCCAGAAGATGCAAGTACTCAGAGTCTTTTGGATGCTCTTCTCAATAAGCCTGGTTTTGGCACACGCTGTATGCAGGGACACTCCATCCCGTAAGTAAAACTCTGGGATGAGGAAACTTGGCCCCAGCTGCTGATTACCCAGCAGACTTAGCAGACTCTAGGGAATGAAAGTCATGCATGGCCAGAGTAGGATTTAAGGCAAAAGAGTTGCAATACGTTCAGTTTTTCAGCCCCCAGCATGGTGAGGGAGTGAGGTTTGATTCAAAGTCCTTACTGACAGAGATGTGAAGGAAACAGTAGTCTCTCCCTCAAAATAGTTTGGTCCTGAACATGGAGAAGGACCTAGTCATGTTGCTATATGTTGTTGACTGTAGCTATTCCCATTTCCCAATCCTCTGTTTCTAGCTGCACTGGAAACCTGGGTTAGTGCCCCCACAAACACCAGTAGGAAGAGTGGAGAGCCAGATGGCATTGGTGGTGTTTCCAGGCTCTGCCACTGACTTGTTTCATGGCCTTGGGCAAATCACTGAAGATGCAGACCATGAGTGCTAAAGGGGTATACAAAGTCCAGGATGATGTGTCTCTAGCCTGGAAGAACACGAGCTCATGTTTATAGGATGATGGGGCAAGGGGCCCTATGTGCTGGCCAGTGGTGGAAAGTGAGCTATATTCTGCAAAACAGCCACAAGAACTGGGTTACTCTATCCATGCAGCATGGGGAGGAGGCTTCCCACTGATGCTACCTTAGGAAAGAGCAGCATTTTGGTGCCCTAAAGGCAGAAATATCATCTGAGAAATGACTGCTGTGATCTTAGAATCACAGAGTAGCTCAAGTTGGAAGAGACCCATAAGGATCAATGAGTCCAACTCTCTGTTTGTTGCAGGACTACTTAAAACTAAACCATATAATTTGCATAGTCCAGAGGCTCCTTGAACTCTGGCTGCTGTGCATTCTGGGGCTGACTGAAATAAAGTGCTTGTGTACTGTGGAGCAAATGAGAAGAGAGGAGTGTGTGGCCTGCTCTGCCAACGTTGGTCTCCTTGGCACTGGGATCCATTAGAAGTTGTGGAGCTGGATCTGTTTCTCTGAGCTGTTTGTCTCAGTGAAGTCAGGCCCCTTTGAAAAACAGCCTGCTTCTTCTGGGGTCTGTGAAGTCTGTTATTTAAATGGCTTGTAAGCAACAGCCATCATAGTTGTTCTAAAAACTGCATTTGCCATGCCTCTTTTCTGACTCAGAGACACTCCTTGCACTGTGGGGCAGGAGGAATGGACCACTGCTGCAGTCCCAGACTCAGTCCTGGACATCTTCTTGAAAGGCAACTGGAGCATGGAGAACCCTTCTCCGTCGTGCGAATGCAGCAACGAAAAGATCAAGAAGATGCTGCCCGTGTGTCCACCTGGTGCAGGTGGGCTGCCACCCCCACAGGTAGGTGGGAGCTCAGTGGTGCTGTGGTGAGGGATGCTCCTGGAGAGCAGAGTGGCTGGGTGTGATTCTTGCGTGCAGCACTTGCACACGGTTTGTTTGACTTGGTGCCTTTGTCTTCTGACGGGTGTTTATCTGTGTTTTCCCTGGTGATTGCCAGCGTGAGCAAGATACTGCTGACATCCTCCAGAACCTGACAGGACGCAATATATCAGACTACCTAGTGAAGACCTATGCACAGATCATTGGGAAAAGGTAGTTGTTGAATGCACCCTTTCCCTTCCTTGCCCACCAAGTGCTTCTTGTTGTACTGGGGATGCTGCAGGGAAATATGCTCAGGGAAATATGTCTGGGCAACCCAAGCTCTTTGGCAGTAGGCCAGACCCCCTCAGCTCCTCAGACTGTCCTGTCTATAGCTCAGGTGGTGTTTCTGCTTTATTAGTGATGCTGTGGCAGCTTGGAGGGTGGTACCTTGAGCTTTGTAAGCAGAGTATGGGAAAAATCTGGGCACCATACCTAATGGTTATGCTGAAGGGGAGTGGTGGGACATACGCCAGAAATGAGAGGCTATTGCACTTTTTCTCCTGGCCATGTGCCTACAGCACTGGTAGGTCTGCCTCTCCTTTAGTTCCATGTATTATATATACACATCAACTTTCTGTTCTGTCTCTACAGCTTAAAGAATAAGATCTGGGTGAATGAGTTCAGGTGAGTTACTGCCTGTATGTTTCCACTGACCCTTGAGCATGATATTAAGCAGGACAGACCCACCTCAGTTTGCAAGATTGTTTTTTTGCAACTCTTAATTACTAGGTGTTGAGGGAGCATATTTAAGGATAACATGGGACAACCTCAGAGAACATCACTGGAAAACATGCCTGCAGAGAGCAGCATTGGCCTGAAAAGATTTGCAGGACCAATCTGCTGACACTATCCTGGAAGGTGCTGCTCTGCCAAGCAAAGGAAGTAGGGAGATGTCCTGCTTTGCCTGCACTGGAAGTAGAGGATAGCTGTGTTCAGTAAACACAACAGCACACTGAGCAGTCATAAAATGGGTATCTAACTCCAGAACAAGGATTAGGAGACATCATGTCTAAGCAGCAGTGTAAGGTGAAAGTCACTTCTTCATGTGAGAGTGGAGATACTTGCCTTGGGTATAGTACAGAAAGAGGAGATGTCTGGAGAGGGAGGAGGAGTGGCATTTTCTGGAGGTCAGTGAGCAGTCAGGTCTTATCATTGCTTTCTGTATGAACTTTCAGGTATGGTGGCTTTTCCTTGGGAGCCAGCAGTTCCCTCATGCTTCCTCCAAGCCATGAAGTCACTGATGCCATTAAGCAGGTGAAGAAGATTTTGGAGCTAGCACAGGTGAGCAGCTGTCCCCAGTAAGCCCGGGATGCACTAATTTCAGAGTCATCTTACTTGGGAGGTGACACAGAAACTGTAAAATTACGAGCATGTGTATGTTAGCTGTGGCTTCTCCTCATTGCCTCTGAGCTAGGGTCTCCCAGGCTGGTGTCTGGTAGCAGCAGAAGGCTTGGGGACATGCTCAGTTGAGGCTTATACAGCCCACATTGCTGGGGTGGGTTCTGCCTTGGCTCAGAAGAGAATTTGGGCCATTGCTTTCCTCTGAGACTGCATGTGGGCTGCAATATCTCTGAAGGGTGCCCTGAAATCCTGGTTGGTGCTTATTGCTGGGAAAAAAATGGGCCTAGGGCTGACCTGTCTTACCAGTGGGACTGCAGAAAGGAAAGAGGGAAGGACATCTGCAGTTTATCACTTTTTTTAACAAGTCCAGCCTGGCTGATACAGGCTACAGGATGGAAAAAAAGCTGTCAGAGCTGTGAAAAATGTAGTGTGACCCTGCAAGACTCCAGGACATGAATAAAGGTATTCTCAGAGGGGAAGTAACTCTCTTTGCTGTTTGCAGGGGAGTTCTGGAGACCGGTTTCTCAACAGTTTGTCAAGTTTCATGAAAGGCTTGGATACAAAGAACAATGTGAAGGTAAATTAACTAGTCCTCACTGCTGTGCCTACTATTTGAAGCCCTGGTAACCTGGAGTTATTTTTAGTTAGTGAAGTTCTAGCAGTTGGGCAGCTGTGTAGACCAGAGCTTTCTGTTTGCTACTGGAAGAAGTACAGCTTGTATTTTTGTGTGGGTTTCCCCAAAATCTGTTGTTCTCTTGGAGTCTAGCCCTAAGGCTCAGGGAGGACTTCAGTGCTGGATCAGTGTTAACTTCCAGCAGCCTCTTGTTATTGAACAAACTGTATGTTCTGTCCCTGACCAAACTAGCTGGAAGGATGAGGAAAGAAATTTTGTGCCCTCTGTAGAGGAAGGGATATTCTGCTGAGCTCAGGAGCCTGTTGGGTAGCTGAGGTACCCTGAGGCCTTTCTAATGCTGATGTGATCTCTCACAGGTGTGGTTCAACAACAAGGGCTGGCATGCCATTGCCTCCTTCCTGAATGTGATCAACAACGCCATCCTTCGGGCCAACCTGCAGCAGGGCAAAAACCCTAGTGCTTATGGGATCACTGCCTTCAATCACCCACTCAACCTCACCAAACAACAGCTCTCTGAAGTGGCTCTGTAAGTCCTGACATGGACTGCTGATTACTGGAAACAGGTGCCATGGGAGGTATTAACCTCACCAGTCACCACTTAGTGCCTGTGGCATTTAGACTCTTACCGTGCTGGCCTTATTTTCTCTGGCCTGGGCAAGTGGCAACACGTGCTGTTGAACACTTGCTGTTGAACAGCACAGCTGTGCAAGCTTCCTTATGTCTGTGAGTCCCTGGAAGCTGCAGTTTCTGGGAACCAGTGTAATCTTCAGACCTTCTGTTGCTTGAGAAATACCTCTCAGCCATACCCAGAAAGGCAGCTCCCCACGAATAAGGTTGTTCTTTTGTCCCAAGGTGCCACTGTTTGACTGGGAACCATTGAAGGATCATGTTAAATTTTGCCCACTGCCTCAGTCTGGGGCACATACAGCAACACCCAGGGCTTACTCCACTGAGGCACTGACTTGTCCACTGCTACTGCAGCCAGAGTCATGACTCATAAGCTGTCTGCAGATACAACCTTCAAACTTCAGGGCAGGGGCAGGTGACAGTCAGATACCTCTGGACTTTAAAACAACATAAAAAAACCCAACCCAAACCAAAAATAATCAACAACAAAACAAACAAATCCCCAACAACCTCAAGAAATCCATTAAGTAGGAAATAAAGTGGTGGTGATAAGGAAGGCAGAAAGCAGTCTGTTACTAACCAATCTCCAGGTGATCCTTGAGATGCCAACAGGCTGTGTACATTCCTTTGTTATATGGCTGGAGAAAAACTGTGCAGTTAAGACAGCCTGATGACCACATCCATCCATCCTGATGACCATCCTTTATCCTGCAAAACAAGCACAACAGAAAGCAAAATGGTTTCTGCACTGTCCTGCATGTGAAACCTCATTTCATCTCCAAGGAGCCAACACCTGCATTCAAACACTTTGCTTTCTTCTTGTTTTTTCTTTTGTTCAGGATGACCACCTCTGTGGATGTCTTAGTCTCCATCTGTGTGATCTTTGCCATGTCCTTTGTTCCTGCCAGCTTTGTGGTCTTCCTTATCCAGGAACGTGTCAGCAAGGCTAAACACTTGCAGTTCATTAGTGGAGTGAAGCCTGTGATCTACTGGCTGGCCAACTTTGTCTGGGATATGGTAAGGGCTTTGTGATTATTCTGAACTACCCTCCATTCTGTGTTTGCAGGGTGTCACTGGCACTGAAGTGCCCTGGGGGTGCACTGGGAGCCAGTGGGCACCACAATAATTCAGTTAATAATCACTGTTCCTGTCGTTTCTGTGTTTACTGCACTGGAGTGGTGGTTCACCTCAGTGGGAAAAGGAACACTGAATAGAGGATGGAAAGGCAACCATAAGCTCTGTCATCAGCATTTATTATGTCACTTTAAAATACCTGCCCCAAAATGTTTGCTTTTTTAGTCCTCGTTCTGCTCTGTTAAAAGCAGGTTTTTTCACACTGTGGTATCCAGAACCTCAGAAGGTCTATTGACTACTTCTAGAGGAATGCAGAAATGTGCAGGCATGTGTACTACATTGTAGTCCACACATGTGACACTCCTAAGAGTCTCCCATTGGAAGCAGCTTTGGGAACACTGAAGAATGTTGAAAAACATTGGTTCAGAGCAGAAAGACACCTTTCATTATTTATTTTTTTTATCATCTGGAAACAAATCTAAAGCCATGTTTTTCACCTTCTAGTGCAACTACATTGTTCCAGCCACACTAGTCATCATCATCTTCATCTGCTTCCAGCAGAAGTCCTATGTATCCTCCTCCAACTTGCCTGTGCTGGCTCTCCTTCTGTTTCTCTATGGGTAAGGGAATTCTCATCAGAAGGATGACTGGGAAGGCTCTTAGACTTGCAAGGTGCTTACCTCATGTTCCTGCCTTTCCTCTTGCCAGGTGGTCCATTACCCCTCTCATGTATCCAGCCTCTTTCGTGTTCAAAATCCCCAGCACAGCATATGTTGTGCTGACCAGCGTGAACCTCTTCATTGGCATCAATGGGAGTGTGGCCACCTTTGTTCTGGAGCTCTTCACCAACAACGTATGTTTCCCCACAAGTTACTCATTGTCTTGTGCTGCTACAATCTAGTCCCATGTTGATGCCATGTTGCCTTTAGCAGCCACTTCTGTAGAAGGGCTAGCCCCTGGCCTGTACACATGAGCTACTGCAGCAGTATAAACACATGTTCTGATGGAAATGGGTTAAAGCCCACTTCAGAAATGTTCACAGAATATTTAAGGTGGGAACAGACCTCCTGAGATTGTCTTGTCCCACCTCTGAGCAGGGTCAGCTAGAGCAGGTTGCTTACAGCCATCAGGTTTTGAGCATTTCCAGGGAGGGAGACTCCACAGTCTGTCTGGGCAACCTCTTCTAGTTCTCAGTCACCTTTAGGGAAAAAAAAAATAATGTTTTTTTTATGTTCAAACAGAATTTCCTGTATGTTCTTCATAAGGGGAAATTTCTTTCTACTACAGGCCATGTGAAATACTCAAGTATTTAGTTGCCCTCGGTTTTTCCTGCTGTGGTAGATACCTCTCTTAACTATACTTGGAACTTAGGCACTTCAGTTTTCCAAAGCCAGATGCTTGCTGAGGAAGGTGCAAATTCCTCTCATGCCTATATGCCATGCAAGAGGTTCACCCAGTGGTGTGGAGTGTTTCTTGTAAGGGGCAGCTGGGGAGATCCTGTGGGAATTTCCTGTTGATTGTAGCACTGGCTGTGGGCATAAGGAGGCAGCTGTTGATCCCTTTTGATACAAGGCCTGTTCTAGCTCAGTAAAAACATGTATGTGCTTGAAGACAAGTGCCTGGCAGAACAGGAACATATCCTCAAGCTGCTGCCAGTCCATTCTCTGTTCAAAGCCAAGTGGGAGGCAACAAAGTAAAAGGATTAGAGTCTCCAGTATGGTACAGGGAGAGGCTACCCACAGTCTTGAGATAACCAGTCTGTGCAAGCACAGCTTTCCTGCCGGGTCAACCTGTAGCCTTCCTGCACATAGTTGTTGATAGATGCTTCCTTTTAGACTCTAGCTTTTGGAGGAATCTCTCCTTTGGTACAGTTAGCTTGTATTCACAGAATCCTGAATGACACAACAACACTTGAGTGTCCAGAGGAGCCATGGCATTGGCTTTTTGGAGAGCATTTCTAATGCTTGAATTTTTGTGAGGTTGCAGTGTTGGGGAGGGAGGGCTAAACCACAACATGGGTCACAGTTGGCAGGTGGTGACTGCTTTCTGCTCCAGTGCCTCACTGACACTTGATTATGTCTTAACAGAAGCTGAACAACATCAATGACATCCTGAAATCTGTCTTCCTCATCTTTCCCCATTTCTGCCTGGGACGGGGTCTTATTGACATGGTGAAAAACCAGGCCATGGCTGATGCTCTGGAGAGGTTTGGTAAGTGAGATTGTGTACAGTCACAGGGACAGTGGCCTGAACTCAACAGAGAAAGCTTAATTCTGCTCCAGATGAGCATCTTTTGCTCCTCTTGAGTTTTCAGGACTGAAAATTTATGATTGCACCACGAATCTGATCAAAGTTGGCAAGTCTCCAGAACTGTCCTCTTTAGGTTGTTGCAAGGACTGAAGGGGGCCTAGCAAATAGATACCCAGATTTTTGAGTTATTAGGGGCATTAAATTAAAATGTGTAGAGCCAAATGTATGGAGAGGATCATTAGGCCAAGTGTAAGGAATGGCTGAGATTCTGGAAAGTGGAGTTTTTTTTTCTGGGATGCAGACGTCAGGCTTGAATCTCAGTTTCTCTGTGTTTCACTGAATTTTTGGCAAGGTAGGCCAGCTCCACTTTGGCACACCAGATTTTCTGGGCCTGAGTCCCAGCTTAATTACATAAGAAATGTGCATGTATCCTCAACTGGCCCCATGTGTGGTCTGTCCCTTCCTTCCTCCCGCTGGCTGCTCTCCAGTTGCCCCAGTGCCCAGCTTGGTGAGCTCTGCAGGAAGAGATGCTAGTCAGCTCCCATTGCTCTGGGAAGGTCACTGTGCTTTTCATCTCATTGGCAGGAGAAAATCGTTTTGTCTCACCTCTGTCGTGGGACTTGGTAGGAAGGAATCTCTTTGCCATGGCAGTGGAGGGCGTTGTCTTCTTCCTCATCACAGTGCTCATCCAGTACAGGTTCTTCATCAAACCCAGGTAGGTTGCCTGCTCCACCACTGCCAGCAGATCAAGTTTTCATTGGTGTCCTCCAAGAAGGGGGAGATTATTAACTGTGGAAGCCCTGTTCTGCTAAGGCTTTATCATATTGCTTTCCGCAGGCCTGTGTATGCCAAGCTGCCTCCTCTGAATGATGAAGATGAGGATGTAACCAGAGAAAGACAGAGGATTATTAGTGGAGGAGGACAGAGTGACATCTTGGAAATCAAAGAGCTAACCAAGGTAACAGAGAAGTTCTGCATTCCTACGACTTGCTGGCACAACACCATGGCAGTTCACCAGAGGCCTCATTCAGAGGAATTCAGTGGGATCAAAATCAGAGGGTGTTTGGCATGTTGAATACATATCATTATAGTTCTAATTATAGTTCTCTTTGACACTGTCCTTCTCATTCTTTTTTTTCTGGTTTCAGATTTACCGAATGAAGCGAAAGCCAGCAGTTGACAGGATCTGTGTTGGAATTCCCCCTGGAGAGGTAAGCTTCACTGTCAAATCCATTGCTTTGCTATTACCACAGTATTTAAGAGCAACAGACAGCAAAGGGTAGGTGAAGATCAAAACCAGATTATTTTTAAATTACATCAAAAGAAATCGCTTGAAAGTTGAAGTGGTTTCTGATTCTGTCTCTCAGCCTTTGAAGAAGATACTTAACTCTGCCTGCAATGAGAGGCCAAACTCTGGTACCCTCCAGGTTTTGGCATGGATACACTGTGGTGGCAGTGCACTGAGGTGGCACCACAGTTCAGTAATTTTCCCAGCCTAAAGATTCTTTCTTAAAATGAAAGTCCAGATCAAGTTTCCTTCTCATCTTGTCAGTGCTGAAAATGATGCAGCTGAATCCTATTCTCAAATACACTGCTCATCTGCTCTTTTGTATCCCCAGTGCTTTGGACTTCTAGGAGTAAATGGTGCTGGCAAGTCATCCACTTTTAAGATGCTAACTGGTGATACAGATGTGTCAGGAGGAGAAGCTTTTCTCAAAGGAAACAGGTGAAAGACCATGCATCTCTCCTCTGCTTCATCCTTCACTGCTTTCTCCTCAGCTTCCACAGCCTTTGTTCCACTTCCAGCAGCTCTAAACTCTGTCCCACTTTTCCCTTTTTCAATTCCTGGCATTTGTTTCAGCCCTTTGCTGTGTCTGGTAAAGTAGTGTAGTGGCTTAGGAAAACTGATTTAGTCTGGAAGTCATTTTTTAATACCTGCCCTCTCATCTTGAAATGTCATAATTCAAAAGCAAAGGGGGGTGGGGAGAGAGAAAAAAATAATTTGGCCAAGACAGACTTCTAGGATCCTGTATTTTTCTTACTTCAGTGATTTCAAAACCACTGTTTCACTTACCTTTTCTTGACACCTAAGATAGCAGCATGTACTTGTGAAATTCTAATAAACTGTTTTTTCTTTTGCAGTATCTTGTCCAACATCCAAGAAGTCCATCAGAACATGGGCTACTGCCCACAGTTTGATGCTGTTAATGAACTGTTGACAGGGCGAGAGCACTTGGAGTTCTTTGCGCTCCTGAGGGGTGTTCCAGAGAAAGAAGTCTGCAAGGTAAATGAAATGCCATAGGACTCACCCCAATGACCTGCTTGCCTTCATCCTCCCTGCCACACATGCAGTTGCCATTATGTGAAGTTGCTGAAGATACTGAACGGTGAAATCTGCTCCCTTTTCCTCCAGGGCAAGCCAAAGTTGCTGTGTGTTTTCAGTGCTGCCTTGAAAAGTGTACTAAATGGAAGGGCAGATACTTTGGGTCAGGTCTTCTTATAGTGGGTACATTTCTACACGGAATTACTTCTTTCCTTTAAGAGTTTAAGGAATGTGGAGATGCAGATCATGCAGAACCTCACATGTTGTTAATTCTTCAAAGTCCCAGGGAGCAAACACTCTACAGCTTAACAGAAGCCTCATGCTGGCTATTGTATCTTTCCAGCTGATCACACTGCATCATGCAAGTGCTGCTGTTTCAGCCCTCGGACATGTGGTTACACTAATAGTCTTTAAGCAATTAATGACAACTAGCTAGTTTCATACAGCACACTTCTCATTCCTGTTACCTTGAGTTAACAGCAGTTTTCACTGTGTGTGTCCTGCATGCTGCAGAACAGGAAGGGCTGCAGGTAGGAGAATTACCTTTGTACCCAGTGCAAATTGGACAGAGCCAGAACTGGCACCTACAGTATGTCCAGGTAGCTTGAATCCCTCTTTGAGAGTAGTGATGGTGGGTGAAAACTGCAAGCTCCTGTCAAGGTTGCTGGTGTGTTCCTCTGTATGATTTTCCCACCAGGCCCATATAAAGAGGGAACCCAGTTCTGGGTATGAAGTTCTGGGTCTGAGTCATAGCCAAATCTCCTCTCCCCAACAACTTGTAGTCCCCAGGGCAACAATGCCTGCCTATGCCCCCAGTAGTCAGACTGCTGAGTAACAAACCAGATCCTTCCCATCTGTCTGCAGGGCTAAGACACACCACACTGGGACTGCTCTGTGTCAGTAGTGACTCTGTCCCTGCTGCAAGCCCGCAGGAACTAGAAAGCCAGTGCTGTGGAGAGCACTGCACTGCTGATCAACATACCTGAACTGATGTTGAACTCATGCCCACTGTCCAATAAGCTGAAGCCATTTGATTTTCTGGCCTCCCAGGGGAAGGATATCATGTATCCTGATCCTATAGAGGTGAACAGGGTGTTTCAAAACCCGTAGCCTTTCCAGATGAGATTCTCAGAGGTGTGGTCCTTAAAATATTTTTAAAGCCAAAGCTCATAAGGGAAATCTCATTGTGTATATGCTTGTTGTGCTTGATTCAAGATGGTGCTGTGCTGTCTCCTGTAGGTCGGCGAGTGGGCAATTCGGAAACTGGGCCTTGTGAAATATGGAGAAAAAAAAGCTGGGAATTACAGTGGAGGGAACAGACGCAAGCTCTCCACAGCCATTGCCCTCATTGGAGGGCCACCTGTGGTTTTTCTGGTGCGTTTACAACCTTTGCTCATTAACACTTTCTTTTATAAACAGAAAAATAGGGTTCAAATTAAGACTAGATACTTCACAGCCAGCTGATGTTTAAGTACAGAGAGCATATGGAAATAGAGAGTCCCTCTTTAAGTAGGTGCAACCTATAAAGTGCCTCCAAGATTCTGTTTTTAAAAAATCAGTGGTGAAGCAGGGATCTCAATCATGGCAAACTGCCAGATCTGTAGCTTCTTCACCATTTGGCTTCACATTTTGGCAGAAAAGATTCCCATACATACAAAAAAGTAACAGCCT